GAAGTGGTCTTACTTCTTCCTTTCTATTTTGAATGCCTTTTATTTATTTCTCTTGCCTAATTGCTTTTGCTGGAACTTCCAGTATTGTGTTGAATAGAAGTGCTAAAAGTGAGTATCTTTTTCTTGTTCCTGATTTTCAGGGGAAAAACTTTCAGACTTTCTCCATTTCTGAATACGATGTTAGCTGGGTTTTTCATATATGACTTTATGATTTTGTAGAAGTTTCCATCTGTTCCTTGTTTATTGAGTGTTTTTATCATGAAAAATTTGATCATGAAAAAATTTGGCTTTTGTCAAACTCTTTTCTATATCAAATAAGATGATCATGTGACTTTTGTTTTTCATTCTGTTAATGTGATAGATTACATGGTTTGAATTTCATATGTTGAACCATTCTTGCATCCCAGGAATAAATCCTACTTGATCGTGGTGTGAAATTTTTTTAATATGCTGTTGAATTTGGGGTGCTAGTATTTTGTTGAAGATTGTTGCATCAGAATTTGTAGGAGATATTGGTCTCTGTTTTCTTGTAGTGCATTTGTCTGGCTTTGGTATTAGGATAATGCTGGCCTTCAAATGAGTCTCAGAATGGCTCTGGATAAGATAGTAAGACTTCCTTCATCTTCAACTTTTTGGAAGAATTTACAGAGTATTAGTCTTAGTTCTTCCTTATATGTTTGGTAGAATTCACCAGTGAAGTCTGGTGCTCCTGGCCTTTTCTTTGTTGGGAGATTTTTGATTATTGATTAATCTCCTTCCTAGTTAAAGGTCTATTCATATTTTCTATTTCTTCATGATGCAGTCTTGGTAAGTTGTGTATTTCTAGGAATTTGTCCACTTCATCTAGGTTATCCAATTTACTGGTGTACACTTGTTCATAGTAGTGTTTTATCATCTCTTTGATCTCTGCAAAATTTTGTAGTGTTCTTTAATTTCTGATTTTAGGTATTTGGGTCTTCTCTCTGTTTTTCTTAGTCAATCTAGCTAAAGATTTGTCAATTGTGTTGATATTTTTGAAGAACCTCTCTTGGTTTCGTTGATTTTCTCTGTTGTTTTTCTATTTACATTTTAGTTATCTCTGCACTCATCTTTATTATATTCTTTTGTTTGCTAGCTTTGAGTTTATTTTTCTCTTCTTTGTCTAATGTCTTAAGGTATATAGTTATTAATTTATGGTATTTTGGTATGTTGTATTTTTGTTTTCATTTGTCTCAAGGTATTCTCTAATTTCTCTTGTGATTTCTTCCTTGACTATTGATTTTTTAAGAGTGTGTTGCTTGATTTCTTTGTATTTGTGGATATTCCATTTCTTCTTCTCTTAATTGATTTCTAGATTTATTTTTCAGACTGTTTTTCCAGTGGACTGCTTGAATAGTCCTTCATCCAGATTCCAATAAGTTGCCTTATTTGACCTGTATGTCAATGCCATATACACAGATTTTTGTTATGGAAACTGGTTTCTGAAAGTCAGAAGAGATCTGTGTGGTACGCAGAACAATGGCCCCCCAAAGTGATCCTTTTCCTAATACTCAGCACGTGTGAATATTTACCTTTCATGGCAATTGTTTTAGATTTTGCAGAAGTGATTAAGTTAAGACTGTTGATATGGGGAGATTATCCTAGATTATCAAGGTGAGCCCAATGATATCATAATGCTCCTCAGAAGAAGGAGGCAGGAATGTCAAAGGTAGAGAAGTACAAGTGATAATGGAAGCATGAGGTTGGAGTGATAGGAAGACCGGAATCATGAGAAAAGGAATATGGGCAGCCCCTGGGACTTAGAAGGCAAGGAAGAGAGCCTCCAGAAGAAATGAGGCTTGGCTGACACCTTGATTTTATCCCAGCAACACCAGTTGTGAACTTCTGACCTCCAGAACTATAAGATAAAAATTTCTATTGTTTTAAGCCCCTAAATTTTTGGTAATTGGTTACAGCAGGATTAGGACACTAATGCCACGTGATTACGCTATGGATAAAAAATCCCAGGTACTTGAAGGAACGTTTTACTACTTAATTAAACTACATATTTATTCTGTGTTGGGAGCTCTGCCCATCAGTGTCACTCAAGTATCCTGGTTGATGGAGCAGACCCATCCTGAGCATGTGGATCTCTGCATAAGAGGGAAGTTGATGCATAGAGGTTCTTGTAGTTAAATGCATATCCACTAAATTCCTTCAACACTGTTGCTCACAACTCATGGTCTAAAAACGTCTCATGGTCCTACCCAATGCAAAGGTCCAGAAATGCAACACGCCCTGAGGCCAGAAAGTGGACAGCCAGAAATATTTGGCAAAGCATGAAACCCCCAGAGAGGGCACAGGCACTCAAACCCACTCTCTGCCACATCTCTTAACCTCTCTGTGCCTCAGTTCCCCATTTGTACTAGGGTCTCACATTGCAGGCTCTTGTGAAGGTTACCTGTGATGACATATGGAATGTGCTGAGCTCAAGGCCCACTCGTGCTGTGCACTGGGTCAGTGAAAGCTGTTGTTGATAAACACTTGAGAAAACCTACAAGATCACATAGGGATGAATAAATGATGGATTTGGTTTCCTCCAGGAGCAGCAGGTGAGGAGCTGCAGGTGATTCAGCCTGAGAAGTCAGTGTCAGTCGCAGCTGGAGAGACGGCCACTCTGCCCTGCACCCTGAACTCCCTGCTCCCCGTGGGGAACGTCCAGTGGTTCAGGGGGACAGGGCCAGGCCGGGAGTTAATCTACAATTTCAAAGGAGGCCACTTCCCCCGAGTAACAAATGTTTCAGACCGCACAAAGAGAAATAACATGGACTATTCCATCCGCATCCGTAACATCACCCCAGCAGACACTGGTATCTACTACTGTGTGAAGTTCCAGAAAGGGAGCCCTGATGACGTGGAGTTTAAGTCTGGACCAGGCACCCAGCTCACCGTGAGTGGTGAGTACAACGTGGGCCTCCTTTGTCCCCTGGTGTGTGACAGCAAGTCAATAATAACGCCCTCCATTGTTGGAGCAAAAGCAAGAAGCAGGTGTGGCAGTGGGTGCTTATGTTCATGATCTGATTTCACCACAGATCAGGGAAGTTCAGGCCTGGAGAGGTCGTGCTAGTTGCTCAAGGCCCCACTGCTGGTAAATGGGGGGAAAATTCTGGAATACCCATCTGCCTGGCACCACAGCCCTTGCCTTTTCAATCCCATCCAGCCCTTTGTTCCAGGGAGGAGGGAACTGAAAGTCTGAGTGACTCGCCCAGTCACAGGGCCAGACCTCGCCCCTGCCCCCAGAGAGTGCCCCTCAATGTGGCCGAGTCCTCCTTTACTCAGCACTTACTGAGCACCTACTGTGTGCCAGGCTCTGCTCTGGGTGCTGTGGAAGCAACAGTGGACACAGCAGGCAAAGGCTCTTCTCCCAGGAAGCTCACGTCCTCTTCCCTTCCTGTCAGGAGAAATCCATGCAGGGCAGGGAGGGGAGAACATGTGTTTCTTCATCTCATCCTCAGAAACATCACACTGAGAGGAATCCCTAAGAGGCCCAGACTCTCTGTTTACTCTGACAGCCGGCTCGAGGAGACACACGGAGATTGGGTGTTCTCTGTGTGTCTGTCCAGAAAACCCTCGTGTGATTCAGGGACCAACTCACACAGTCACTGAAGGCTCCAGGCAGAGCTGGGTCATCTCAGAATGTCTCTCACCCAGGGAAGAGGTTCCTCATGTAGGTGATTTAGGGGTTCCCCGTTGAGGCAGCAAAGATGCTCATTTAGGATTTTCTGCCAGAGGACCAGGATCCTGAATCCTGAAAAGTCAGTGCACAGTGGACCTTTAGGCCCATCCAGCCCCATGCCCCATGTACAGATGGGGAGCTGGGCTACGTGCCCACGGTTACATGGCCAGTGAGTGAGGGGATCATTCCAGAACCCAGATCTGATTCCAGGCAGGCTCCGTCCTGCCTCAACATTGGACACTCTTTCCCTGGAAGAGCCTGGCCCATCATTTGTGCTAGATAAAATCTTGTTACATCAAACCATTGAACAGCAGCTAGCATTTCTCCTTTTCATCAGTTTCCCAAAGGTTCAGAAGCCCCTTGCATTCAGACCCCTAGGCTCGAGGAGATTGGGAACCTCTCCATACCTTCAACCACATCATCCCCATTCAAGCATTCCATATCAGCACCAAGAGCTGCACGTTGTTTCCACAGCTGCATAACATCCATCATATGGAGACAGCATCCTTCATTCTAGTCTTCCATTGATGGATACAAAGTTGTTCCTAACCTTGGGATATTAGACCAGCGCTGCACCACTCTATTCAAGTGGGAGATGCCCACTGGAGGTGGCATTGCTATGTCAGTGGGTGTGTGTATTTTAACTTGTTGGATATTGACAAATTTCCCTCCTAGACAGGGTAGAAATTGATTCTCCCTACAACCTTCCCCATACTCAGAGTTCACCTCTGGGAACCCGTGTGTCCTCCTCTGTAAGATGAGGATGATGACCCTCCCTCGCAGCACTATTAGAAGGATTAAAAAATAATATATTGAAGGTTCTTAACAGTGTCACTTGCCTATAGTAAGTGATGATAATCATGATCATGTTTATTTTTTATAAATGATCCTTTTGTAGCCAAACCCTCTTCCCCCATGGTATCGGGCCCCACGGCGAGGGCCGCGCCTGACCAGACAGTGAGCTTCACCTGCGAGTCCTACGGCTTCTCCCCCAGAAACATCACCCTGAAGTGGTTCAAAAATGGGAATGAGCTCCCAGCCTCCCAGACCAACGTGGACCCAGAGGGAGATGGCGTTTCCTACAGCGTCTCCAGCACAGCCAAGGTGGTGCTGGCCCCAGGGGACGTTCGCTCCCAGGTCATCTGCGAGGTGGCCCACATCACCCTGCAGGGGGGCCCTCCTCTTCGTGGGACAGCCAACTTGTCTGAGACCCTCCGAGGTAGATCCCCTTCAGCCCAGCCCAAGGCCCCACCTGCCCCCAAGCCCCCAAGCCCGCTCATCCCCCCGCTGTTTGCTCCAGGCCTTGGATTACCTGGAATTTAATTCCTGATCCGCCTTCCCAATCACCAGGCACCTGGATGTGCTGGTCATTCACCTGTTGTAATGGCAGCTGCCAGGTGAACACCTGCCATATGCCGAGCTCTGTGCTAGGTCGTGTTGTCTACTTTACCAATAGCAGCTCCAATTACTGAGCACCTACTCTAAGCCCAGCCCCCATGTGCTTGGTGATTTCATTTATTTTGCTACAGTTATTATGCTCCCACTGTATGTCAGGGGCTCTGACTCTTGATTTCACTCATTCTTACCCTGATAGGAGCTACCAGTCCCTGAGCACCTACTATGTGCCTGGCACTGTGGTTTGTGATCTCATTCATATGCAAAGAGCACCCTCAGCATTTGAGTGCCTGCTGTATGCCTAGCAATGTCCTGGTGATTCCTGTCTGTGGTGGTGGGAGCTAACTTATGGAGCCCTCGTCTGTCATCTGTCTGTTCCATAAGGTCAGAGCTTTTGTCCTGTGCTGTTTCAGTTCCACCCACCTTGGAGGTTTCCCAACAGCCCACAGCAGGGAACCTGGTGAACGTCACCTGTCAGGCGAACAAGTTCTACCCCTGGCACATAAAGCTGACCTGGTTGGAGAATGGAAATGTGTCCCGAACAGAAACGGCCTCAACACTCATAGAGAACAAGGATGGGACCTTTAACTGGACGAGCTGGCTCCTGGTGAACTCATCTGCCCACAGGGAGGATGTGGTGCTCACCTGCCAGGTGGAGCATGACGGGCAGCTGGCGGTCACCAAACACCAGACCCTGGAGGCCTCTGCCCACCAGAAGGAGCAGGACACAGGTGGAAGACCTGGTGAGGCCTCCACTCCAACTGAGCTGGCTCTTTTAAAATTTTGTATTTTTTAGATATTAAAATTAGTCATTAATGCTTGTTATAGAATTATCTAGAAGTTTATAAATATAAAGAACAACTTGGAAGTGAGCTCCCCTCTCCCAAATCAAACACTCCAAGAATCACCACTGGTAAGTGTTTGGTGCATATCTTTATAGATCTGTTGACATAAATATACATTAAAGAAAAAAGAAGGGAAGGAGGGAGCTCATCCTGTTCATAGCCTCCGCCTCTTGCTTTCTCTACCTAACAATGATTTTGTCACCATCAACGTCAACCCACCTCCCTCTTCCTTGTTCTTTGTAACCTCTGCCTAGTCTCTATTTCGTCCTGACAATGACTACGTTCACCATCCACGTCAGCCCACCTCCCTCCTCCTTGCTCTCTCTAACCTCTGCCTAGTCTCTATTCCATCCTGGACTTTTCCATCCACAACATTAATGTCACTCCAGCAGATGCCTGACCTGCTAACTACTCTGTGAAATTCTCAGATGGGAGCCCTGAGGACGTGGGGTTTGAGTCTAGACCAGATACCTGGGTGACCCTGAGTGGTCACAACACAAGACTCCTTTGTTCCCTGATTTCTGACAATGGACCAGTAATCACAACTGCTCACTGCACATTTACTATATGCAAATTCCAGTTCCTCTGTGATCTCTTTTCCTGCTTCAACTACCCTGTGTGTTTGGAGTTTTACCGATGAGACTTGAGGAGCAATGGCTAGTATGTTGTTGATTACTTTTTGCTGTTAGACCATGTGATTGGGCTAAATTAATCAAGGTAAATCTGAGTCCCTGAGGACAGGGACCACCAGCCTGTGCAGGAAATACATGCTAATTAGAAACACATTCCTCCTCTGCTGGGCATTGTCCCAGGGACCTACAAAGTCCCCCTTTCTGTGAACAAAATATGTCTCATTTCTCTCTCATGTAACATCAGAAGGGAATAGAGTCAGGTTTCCAAAAATCTTGACTCCAGAAGAGCTTTCAAAGGTCCACGTTCATTCCATCTGCCCTATGGAGTTGTCCTCATCTGCTGGGTCAACCTGGGACACCAAGTGTCCATGACTCTGTCTGCTGGAAGAGTAAGATAAGAAAACGAAGACAATTTCCCTTAAAACAAGAGACATGCAGAAGTTGCATAATTGTGTCCACTAATAACTTGGTCAAGTATGCACATCCAGGTGCAAGTGTAGTCCACTATTGTGTGATCATATGATTAAGGACATTGGTTTTCTACAATACCAATACCATTACACACAATAAAATTAACAATAATTCCCTAATATCGTCTAAAATGGAGTATACCTTTAAATTTGACCGAATTTCTTTTATAGCTGTTTTTAAACCAGCAAAATGGTTTTAATTCATCCATAAATGCTTGGTAGAATATTCCTGTGCAACCTTCAGGGTCTCAAAAATTCTTTTTCATGAATATTTAAATTATGAGTTCAATTTCCTTAATAGTTTAGGGCTATTCAAATTATTCATTTCATATAGAGTAAATTGTGGCAGATTGTGCTTTTTGAGGAATTTCATCCATTTTCTCTAAGTTCTCAAATCTATCTGTAGGATTGCACACAATCTCCCCTTATTATTCTTCTGACATCTGCAGGGTCTGTAGTGATGTCCTGTCTTTCATTCCTGATTTTAGAATGTGTCATTCCTCCTTTTTTATTGTCAGTCTTGCTAGAAGTTTTTCAATGTTATTGATCTTTCCAAAGAACCTGCGTTTTGTTTCAGGGATTTTTCTCTATTGTTTCTTTGTTTTCACTTTCATTGATTTTTCTCCTCTTGTCTTTACTATTTCCATCCTTCCTTTTGCTTTGGGTTTATTTTGCTCCTCCTTTTCTAGTTTCCTGAGGCAGGAGTGTAGATGATTGGTTTTATGCATCTCTTTTCTCTAATGCCATCCCGGTGTCCTCCTGTGCTGGGCAGTGAGGAGAGTGGGATCTTGACCCCTGGCCGCTGTGTCCTCCCTCCAGTCCTCAGGGCCCAGCCAGTCTGCTTCCTCGTCCTCCTGTCACTGTCCTCCTGTACTTGTACCTCGCGTTGTTTCTAGGGGTCAGATTGTACTGAAAGGGGAGAGCGGGGAGAGATGGGTCGACACCATCCTGTCTGAACCAGCCTGGGTTTGCTCCTCAGTCTCCACCTCCCCCGGGGCTCAGACCAGGGCTGTTAGTTCTGGTGCTCTCAGTGTGCCTGACCGAGCACCCTCGCTAGTGTACTGAGTCTGGAAATGGTTTTTGGGTTGTCCAGGTTGGCAGGCTGGAGCAAAGTGCAAGATGCCTCTGTGACCCTGCTGCAGCAGGATGTCCAGCCTGCCCCCCGGAGTCTGAGGGCTCCAGCCACTGCAGTCCTGGGTCCAGTGTATCTGACTGAGGATGCACATCTTTGTGTTAATTTTAATGATATCTGGGAGTTTTACAATATTCCTGGCTTAATGGCCCTCTCTTCTCTCAATACAGCATAATCCAGGTGTGTTAATGGAGTTCCGGTTAGTTGGTTGGTTTTGACAATGATACAAATATTCTGAGGCCTCTCAGTTTTTTGGTTCTCTTTTTCTTTCAGGATCTTAAATTTCCCTACCTCGTTTCCTTTTTCTCTTCACCACTCAATTGCCAAATAGCACTTGCTC